CTGGATGTCGCTCCACTTTACCTGAACCTCTCCAAACCCGAGTTTCTTGTCTTCCCCCCCCAGCCCAGACCCCACCCCCCATTGACTTTTCCATCATGTCCAACAACACCACCATCAAACCCGCCCTGCAGGCCAGAGTACTTGGTGTCATTCTGGACTCCAACCTATCCTTCCAGCCCCAAGTCCAATCTTTAACAAACTCGTGCAGACTCCACCTCCGCAACATGCAGACTCCACCTCCGCAACATCGCCAAAATCCGCACGTTCCTAACCCCAGAAACCACTAAACAGCTCATCCACTCCTCCTCATCATATCACGACTCGACTACTGCAACTCCCTCCTCACTGGCCTGCCTCACCACTGGCTATCCCGCTTCAGTCCATCCTGAATACGGCTGCCAGACTCATTCACCTTTCCAACAGCTCCATCTCCGCCACCCCCCTCTGCCAATCCCTCCACTGGCTTCCGATTGCGCAACGGATCAAATTCAAAATCCTAACACTGACGTACAAAGCCGTCAACCATACTGCCGAAAACTACATCACCAACCTAATATCCAAGTACCACCCAGCACACACACTCAGCTCCTCACAAGACCTCCTTCTCTCTAGTTTCCTGGTCTCCTCCTCCCATGCCCGCCTCCAGGACTTCACCAGGGTGTCACCCATCCTCTGGAACTCCCTGCCCCAACCCATCAGATTATCACCTACTCTCCTCTCCTTTAGGCGCACCCTGAAAAAACCCATCTCTTCAGGGAAGCCTACCCCACCCCCTGCTAACTTGCCGACCTCCTCCACTCTTCCTACACTCCATCCCCCACAGCTATCTCCTCCTGTGCACCATCCCCTCCCTCCTAGATTGTAAGCTCCAAGGAGCAGGGCCCTCAATCCCCTCATGTTTTGCATTGTATTGGTATTGTTCTGTCACATGTTCTGTCCCCCTTTGTAATGTACAGCGCTGAGCGAACTATCGGCGCTTTATAAATACTGTATAATAATAATAATGCTGCATGCACTACCTGTAAAAATGCAATGGGCTAAATAACATGGTACTGCAGTACCATGCGATTTGTTGCATGCAAACGAACTGCACTTGTGGTGCCATTAACAATATATTGGCACCTGCATGCATACTGCAATGGCAAGGCATTCACCTGCGATACGGGAAACACGCATGAAATGCGCCTTTCTCACACCATGTGAACCGACCCTAAAGCCATTATAAACCTTCCTATCTGCACCTGCATGAGATGTGCACTGATCATGAAGTTTCATGGTGTCATTTGTTGGACTGTACACCACATTTCCTCGGAAAATGTGATCTCCATGATATCTTGGAGGTCACCAGTGTGTGGCAACATACCCCATCTTTCTTGTCCCGCTCCAGAGCCCCGTGCAGAAATTCCAGAGAGACCTCCTCGTTCTCATCCAACCACTGCATGACGAACTGCTCGAACCACCTGAAGGAAAGACATAAAAGAGAACCTGTCAGATGATCGTACAGTATCTAAAGTATAGTAACGACACGTAGACCTCTTCTACAAGGGAGGACTAGGCGTGCTTTGTACATACGCGGGATATTCAGGCACTTTGTCCTTCATGGCCGGCAGGTCTCGGACGTACTCATTGTACAGCCACTTCACCTTGAAATGGAGGTTCATGTAGTCGGCACTCTTGCATAGGCGATGCTTCTCATGCTCTATGGGAAGGAGAGAGAGAGGAGGGTACAGTAGGTGAATGACACGCAATAGAGGGGCATGCACCTCAACATGGGGGCCTCGGAGCATATTCCGTGGATGGATTTCAAATATCACAGTAAGGCAGTGTTTCTCAACTCCAGTCCTCATGGACCCCCAACAGGTCATGTTTTCAGGATTTCCATCATTTTGCACAGGTGATTTGATCAGTTTCACTGCCTTAGTAATTACCACAGCTGTTTCATCTGAGGGAAATCCTGAAAACATGACCTGTTGGGGGTCCATGAGGACTGGAGTTGAGAAACACTGCAGTAAGGTATTGAGCACGAAGATCATTTAGGAATGCCTAGGCTACGTTAACACTAGCCTTGTGTGCAGGTGGCAGAGGGGCGTTTGGGAAGCGTTTTTTTACCGCTTCCCAAACGCCTCTGCCAACTCTGCACATTACAGCACATGGTGCTGTTCTAACAGCAGCGTTTGCGTGCGTCGCGGCAAAACGGACGCCTCTGGTCGAGTCAGGAGGCTTTGAAGCCTCCTATTCTCGTCTATGGTGCCGCTCCGCAAACGCCCGGCCGGCGTTTGCGGTGCGGTTGCGACGCGGTTGCGGGGCGTTTGCGGAGCGGTAACACCACTCAAATGCATTATAGGCGTTTGTGGGGCGTTAATAACGCTCGGCAAACGCCTAGCAACCGCCGCTAAACCGCGCATGCGGCGTTTGCGGAGCGTTTGCCGAGCGTTAAAAACGCTCCGCAAACACCGGACCAACGCTTGCCAAACGCTATAGGGGCGTTGGGCAAGCGTTGGCAAAACAGCCTAGTGTGAACGAGCCCTTAATCAGCTGTGGTCACCGGGTGTATACCACACATACCCAAAGAAAACTCCATGGAAGTACACAGGACGTATCTAGTACACACCCTTGTCCTTCTGCATTGCGGAAGCTTCACCCCAAGCACTTGCCAGCAAATCCTGGCTGTCAAACTGACAGCGGGGAGTTGCTCTGTAAATACAGCAGCTTTAATAGTCACTGCTGTCAAACACCGCTGAGATACAGAGATACTAAGTTATGTGACTTTATCAAATCTTGTTCTTTCATTTGCAGAAAAAATAAAAAAATTGAGTGTCCATCTGCATATGATGTTAATAAGGGGTCTTTCAGGACGGATCAGTCACTGGATTGGGGGGATCTCTCCGCTGAGCAGGCGGATGGCGGGTCTGTGTCCGATTTGCTGACACAGAAACAGCCTGTTGTCTTCTACGGGGGAGTCAGATGGAAATGGACAGCCTGTTCGTTTCCACCAGACTTGTCCAATCTGCAGAATGGATGGCGAACGGATGTTTTTGGTGCACAGGATTGGATGCCGGCGGGTGTCAGTGGACACTTGTCTGCTGACACCCGCTGGTCTATAGAGGTCTATGGATGGTCTGACTGGGTCTGCCTGAAAAACGACAGGCAGACCCGATCGGACCAACAGTGTGAAAGGGGCCTTAAAGCTACAGGACATCTCCAAACACGGAAAGGTTTCTTCACAGTAAGAGCTGTGAAAATGTGGAATAGACTCCCTCCCTGGTTCTGGCCAGCTCAGTGGATTGCTGTAGGAAAGTCCTGGATTGTTTCTTGGATACACAGAATATAACTGGATATAACATTTATAGGGAAAGTTGATCCAGGGAATATCCGATTGCCTCTCGGGGGATCAGGACGGAATTTTTTTTCCCAACAGGAGCAAATTGGATCGTGCTGTGCTGGGTTTTTTTGCCTGCCCCTGGATCAACTGTGGGTATAGGATTACATTTTTTTTCTTTTCTATGGTTGAACTGGATGGACTTTTGTCTTTTTGCAGCCAGACTATGTAACATGGAAAGGTTTCTTCACAGTGAGAGCTGTGAAAATGTGGAATAGACTCCCTCAAGAGTTGGTTGTGGCCAGCTCAGTGGATTGCTGTAGGAAAGTCCTGGATTGTTTATTGGATACACAGAATATAACTGGATATAACATTTATAGGTAAAGTTGATCCAGGGAATATCCGATTGCCTCTCGGGGGATCAGGAAGGAATTTTTTACCCAACAGGAGCAAATTGTATCGTGCTTTGCTGGGTTTTTTTTTTGCCTTCCTCTGGATCAACTGTGGGTGTAGGATTCAAATTTTTTTTTTCTTTCTATGGTTGAACTGGATGGACTTTTGTCTTTTTTCAGCCAGACTAACTATGTAACTATGTATCATGTAACATAATATAAAAAACACAACAAAATGGGTTCCTATTTAATCTCTTATCACTTAGTTTACTCCAATCAACCCAAAATAACTCCTTCTTTCCTTAGCAATTATTTTCCTGTTTTATACTCAGTTTTTCTAACCTTTTGCAATGCGAACACAATATTTTTACGCTAACAATGATCAAAAAAGGTGTTTTTTAGTTGTGTTATGTTTTTGTCTATGGAAAAAGTTTTGGTTGTACAAACACATGAAGACACTTTTGAATTTCTTTAAGGTGACTATACACCTTAATCTCAATGTACAATTTTTAATGTAGGAACCACTCTTGAAGTCTACTAACCACTATGAAGTGCAGGGGTGTCAAAAGGGGTTGCGAAACTACAAGTCCCATCATGCCTTTGCCTTCAGGAGTCATGCTTGTAGCTGTCAATCTTGCAATGCCTCATGGGACTTGTAGTTTGGCAACAGCTGAAGGGCTGCCAGTTTGACACCCACGATGTAGTGCAAGGGCCTGTCTGGTTGGATATAAAATGGAGTATATAGGTTCTGTTTGTTGTATAATCAGATTGCACTGTGTATGACCAGCTTTGTACATGGCCCCAAGACAATGGTTGGCATCATGTTACCTCCACCTTCTGCTCCATTGGTGATGAGAACACATTTCATACATTTCATGAGCAGTCAAGCAGCGGAATACGGTGATGTAGACTGCAGCCTGGTTAACTGGTAACCAGCCAATTAGTGACATTCCCAAGACTGAGGACACACCGCCAATTACAGGAATTTCTTGCCCAGTCAGCTTCTACCTTTAGTGCTGATTAGGCTTCTATGGCTCTCCCCATTCCGGCTAATGAGGCCTCTGTGAGGACAAGATCACCTCTACTGGGCTGAGGGAGCATGTAAGGGTCAAATCACAGCTAGAATGGTACCCTGTGTACGATGTAGGAGTCACAGCAAGTCGGCGTGCTTTAATATATTCCTCCAGGTCAACGCTTCTCTACGTTTTATACAATGAATGCCCATTAAATATAAAAATACACCGTTTGTAGAACACCTGGGAAGCCAAGGTGGTGGGAAGCCCTACATAATGGACACAGCAGCTGTACAGACCTGAGAATTCAGCACAGGGATGGTGTGGAACGCCTCCTAATGGGTCCAGCGGGTGTTCAGAGTCCGAAACTCAGCAAAAGGATGGTGGGAACCCAGCTGTGCCCCACAGTGGGTCCCATAATGGGGCACAGCTGGGGCAAAGACCTGGGAACTCAGCACAAGGATGGTGGAAACTCCTAATAGGCACAGCAGGTGTGCAGACCTGAGAACTCTGCACAGGGATGGTGGGAACCCCTCATAATGGGCACAGCAGGTGTGCAGACCTGGGAACTCAGCACAGGGATTGTGGGAACCCCTCATAATGAGCCCAGCAGGTGTACAGACCCGGGAACTCAGCACAGGGATGGTGAGAACAACTCATAATGGGCACAGCTGGTGCACAGACCCGAGAACTCAGCACAGGGATGGCGGGAACCCCTCATAATGGGCACAGCGGGTGTAAAGACCCGGGAACTCAGCACAGGGATGGTGAGAACAACTCATAATGGGCACAGCGGGAGCACAGACCCAGGAACTAAGCACAGGGATGGCGGGAACCCCTCATAATGGACACAGCGGGTGTACAGACCTGGGAACTCAGCACAGGGATGGTGGGAACACCTCATAATGTGCACATCAGGTGTACAGACCCGGGAACTCAGCACAGGGATGGTAGGAACACCTCATATTAGGCACATCAGGTGTGTAGACTCAAACTGAGGACAGGCATGGTGGGGGCCCCACATAATAGGCACAGCAGGTGAGCAGTACTAGAAACTCAACTCAGGGATGGTGGGAATGCCTCATAATGGGCCCAGCAGGTAGCGCTGATCAAGCAGTATTTATCCAACAAGTTGGCTGTACAAAAGTCTATCTTTAGATCGACTTTTGTACAACTAGTGTTTTCATACATGGATCAACATTTAGCCGTTCCTTGCTGAAGCAGCCGAATTTCGATCCACGTGTGGTCGGATTAACTCTCCAGCATCTACCAAACATTAAAATTTCCATATTGGGTGGTAGTGTCATAGCTTTTGTTCCAGTGGAAAAAAAAAAAAAAAAAAAGAGAAACCTTTAACATAATGAAATTTTTCCTGAAATTGAAGATGTTAGTTTAGCACAGAGGTGCATCAGAAGGACTGAAAATCAATATTTAAACAGAGAGGTAATAGAACTTGAGCTTCAAAGTATCCTGTAGGATAAAGAATCATTAGAACGTGAGCTAGAACAGGTCTAATGTACTACAATATGCATGAGTTCAGCTAGGTTAGAGATCTAGGCTCTATCTGTGAAGACACTACAGAGAAAATAAAACTGAGAATTAGATATACATGTATTCAGATTACTAGAAGGAACTAGTAGGGGCTTTACTGAGCGCTGTGAGGGGTACACTATAGAAATGTTTGTGGACATCTGATCACTTGTTGGGGATCCCATTCCACAAATATGGGCATTAATATGTATCCTCTCTCCCCTCCCCACACCTTCTTCATGACCCAACACCCTCCACTCGTCTATTTATTTACATTTGTACCTATTTAGCCTAAAGAACATTGGTGGGGTCAGGTACTGAAGTTGGATAAGAAGACCTGGCTCACAGACGGTGTTCCACTTCATTCCGAAGCTGTTCAGTAGGGTTGAGGTCAGACATCTGAAGGCCACTGGAGTTCCTCCACACCAAACTCATCAAACCATGTCTTTATGGAGCTGGCTTTGTATATGGCGGCACAGTAAGGCTGGAACAGAAAAGAGTCTTCTCCAAACTGTAACCACAAGGTTGGAAGTACACAATTGTCTACAACGTTTTTGTATGCTGTAGTATTAGCAGTACCCTTCAATGGCACTACCTGATCATCATTTGAAGGGGAGTCCACATACATTTGGCCTTATAGCGTATTTGCGCGAGTGTTTAATGGAACAGGAAACCACCATGATTATGGAAGCCCAAAACACAGGACTGCGGAGGGTTAGCTACACCTGTTGGCTGGGTGGGGGACTGGAGACTGAATGCCCCAGGAGAGCAAGACCCTAGCATTTTGGATGTATTAAAAGGGGATGTTGGAAAATGACTGCCATTTATCCTCTCATGTAGCACGTGTGTGGGGCGTGAATGGTGGTATTGGACAAAAAACGGCACTCCGCTAGCATCAGAGAAGATTAATGGGCTGTATCAACCAATCATTTTCCAGATTTTTTATTTTTGCTGGAGCCATGTTTCTCAAACCTGTGCGACCATCATGGCCTTCCCACGTGTCACCATGTATCATTAATTCATCACATGTTCTATCCATTTTCTAGATATGACCCGGCCTAACTTTCTGTATCATCAACATGCACTGTGACTGGACTGGAGATGTCAAGGGCCACACACAGCTACCCACCACCTCTGCTAGTATCCAGCTTGGACCAGGGCCAAATCTCTGCATCATCACCATGCATTGTGGACTAGAGATGCCAGGGGCCACACACAGCTACCCACCACCTCTGCTAGTATCCAGCTTGGACCAGGGCCAAATGTCTGCATCATCAACATGCATTGTGGACTAGAGATGCCAGGGCCGCACACACACAGCTACCCACTATCCACCTCTGCTAGTATCCAGCTTGGACCAGGGCCAAATGTCTGCATCATCAACATGCATTGTGGACTAGAGATGCCAGGGGCCGCACACAGCTACCCACCACCTCTGCTAGTATCCAGCTTGGAATAGGGCCAAATTTCTGCATCATCAACATATGCTGTGGTCTAGGTCTGCCAGAGGTGTCGCAAGCCAACACATGTTGACAATGATGAAATCCGGCTTTGGTCTTAGCTGGATACTGGCAGGGAGGTGGGTGTCTTTGTGCCGCCCTTGGCAGCCCAAATATGTGAATAATGCAGAAATCTAGCCCTTGTCCTATATAAAATAGAAGTAGGGGCAACCATGAGACACCCCTAGGCAGCCCCAGACCACAGTGTAAACTGGCAATGCTGAAATAAATCCCTGGTCCAAGCAGGATACGATTGTGGAGGTGGGTGTCTATACTACCCTTGGCAGCCCTTGGCCACATTCTAGGTCAAAGATGCAGAAACATTGCCTTGGTCAGTAGCTATGTGACACCCCTGGCATCCCTAGACCCCAGCATATGTTGGCAAAGATGAAATCTAGCCTTGGTCCTAGCTGGATACTGGCAGTGTAGGTGGGTGGCTCTGCCCATCTCCTGGCATTTGAAGGCCACAACACATGTTGATGATGCAGATAATTGGCCCTGGTCCTATCTGGAATCTGGCAGGGAAGGAGGATAGGACACGCAATGAATTAATAGTACATAGTGACACTCAGAGTGGCTGTGATTGTGGAACAGATTTAAGCAAAGTTCAGGAGACGTCACTCCACCAAAGATCGGCAATGACATCTGAGAAATGATTAGTTGATACAGCCTCGTACAACTGACCCCTTCAAGTCTGAGCCCAACTCATACCTTCATGACCAAGCTTAGTGTGGATGTTTAACCAAGGACACCTTTTGTATAACAGCTCTGTGTATCAAAGAAAACATGACTGTTTATTTCAGTACAGGCAGCACCCACAACATCTAAAGTCAACATCTTTTTATAATAAGTGAAAAATGTACCTGAAATGTGGTAAAATGAAGAGAAATTATTTGCTGCATTTCTTTCCACTCCGTAATTACATCCTAAGTGACTACAGCAATTATATCGGAGTGAAAAATACACCAAATGTACTTCGTGTACATCATAATGTGTTTATATGCTGGGAAACCAAGATAATCCCTTGTCCTAGTTTAAACTTTGAACTCTTACAAGATGTTCTGATATTATTTTGAAATGAAACCTGGGATGTTTAAGGTATTTATTGGTGACGCAATCAGCAAGATGTATACACAAAATTTCTATTAAACAAAAAAATAAAAGTTGACAGATTGAAACGGATCTTGATTTCCACCTCATTTAGTATCACGTTGGCAATCATACCGCCAACCTTCTAACCTAGTAAAAAAAAAAAATTGTCATTATTATATGCATTAAACCTTCATCCAAAAAGGATGATACGAAACACATCAAAAGTGTTCCCATGGTGGATGACAGAACATAAACCCTACCCGTTCCTTGGACAAAGGGTTCACTTCCTAAGGAGGCCATAGGTGTGTTACAATGTACATTTGTACTGCTATTTTTGCAATCCTCATATAATAATCGGTGTAAAGTATGCGCACCAGTACAATGCAATGATTTATTTCTAGATTATTTAGCCTGCTATGGCCACCTGAAAAAGAGGACATTTGGTCCAAAAAAAACACAAAGCTTATTTTACGTTCTGTCCTCCCACCATATGAACTTATTTGATTTCTAAAGTATAAAAAAGATTAAAGCCGCATGCCAAAACTTCACTCTTCTTTCTGTATTTAATTTGTCAAAAAAAAAAAGAAGAAACTGTGCACACTGATGCCGCCACCTAAAACCACACGTATTATTTCTGTTCTAGATTATTCAGCCTCCTATGGGCTCCTGAAGAAGTGAACCCTTGATCCAGGAAATGTGTAGGTTTCTTTATGTTTGGTTGTCCCACTATATGAATAAGTGTTTGATATGTGATTGGTTATCACCCTATTTGCATGAAAGCTTGATATATATGTATACATTGATGCTTCCAACTAATCCCACCATTCTTGGCACATTTCAGCACTACCGGCTTGCTCACAAGGATTCCCCCTATCCTTGGAGCAAGCCAGTAGTGGTGACCGCATAGGAAGGTGGTTTAAGGTAGAGACATCATGTAGGAGGCCATAAGCATGCGCAATCAAGCTGCCAACATGTTTTCAACACAATGGATTGAAACATTCTTATGAATTATAATGTAAGTTTTTACTGCTCTTTTCCAAACCTCATATAATAATTGGTGTAACATATGCACACCAACATGACGTATTATTACTGTTCTAGAGTATTCAGCCTCCTATGGGCTCCTGAAGAAGTTAACCCTTGATCCACGAAACGTGTAGAGTTTTCTGTTTGGTTGTCCCACTATATGAATGTATTTTATGTGCTGGATATCATCCTGTTTGGATTAAAGCTTGATATATATATATATATATGTATTTAATTTGTAAAAAAAAAGAAGAAACTGCGCACACTGATGACTCCACCTAAAACCACCTTTCTTGGCACATTTCAGCACTACTGGCAGGGGCGGACTGACAACTCATGGGGCCCCCGGGCAATATGGGATCATGGGGCCCCTGTGTCCTTGCCCAAACTCAAAAAAGCCTATGAAAAAGGTACCAGGGGCATCTCATGGGGCCCCCTACTGACCCCAGGCTCTCGGGCAGTGCCTGAGTTTCCAAATGGTCAGTCCACTACTACTGGCTTGCTCACAAGGATAGGAGAGATCTTCCCCTATCCTTGTGAGCAAGCCAGTAGTGGTGACACGCATCAAGGAAGGTG